TAAAGTTGTTATGAATTATTTCCCTGGTTTCAAAGATGTGAAATAAGAGGCAGTAATGACTTGTACAACCACAGCCGCTTTACACGTCACATAGTCTATAACACGAAATCCTCATCTTACTTTGTGAGCTAAGATCCTGTTTGCAGCTTACAGGTGGGAAACGAGACAAAGGTTTTGTTTAAGTCCTGCCGTGTTCTTCCTGACGCAGTGCCATCACGGACGATGGCCTCGCACACAAACAAGTGGACAGTGTTACGAAGAGATTACGGAGTAATTTTGCCAACATAAATCATACTCCCGTGTCCTCTAAGCCAAGCCCAGACCAACCTTACAGATAATTTCCAAGTCTGAGTCCCCATTTTCTCAGTGAACAGATATCTGCTGTGGAGCAATAGGTTAGAAACGAAAATCCTGACTGCTGAGTGACCTATTTTCTGTAGCATCCTTAAGCAGCAAAGTTGTTCTCATTGGAGGTTATCTTTGATGTTGCGAAATTGTTATTGACCTTGATTCAGGTATTGCAAAGATCAAGTGTGACTCTGGGAGTTTCCTCTGAGTTTGGGATCACAACTTTGTAGATGCCCCACCTGAAGGCCTTAACTCCTGCGCTCTCCTGCTCATCTCTGGCTTTCGAGTTGCCCATTCCCAACATACTCAGCTCCGTCGGAGACTCTACAGTCACACACCACGCCTTGGGCACTCCCCCTCCTCTCCATCCTCTAGAAGTCCAACTTTTCATATTCCATTTCTTTGAGAGACCAGCATGTGATCAGATAATACGAGTAAAACATTCCAGAATGGATTGGCGTGTGACTGTCCCAGGAGCCAACGTGTGTGTTAATAAGAGCTGATGTTCAAGAAACTGAGCCCTCTTCAGGATAAGAGATTATGGACGGATGGACGGATGGACGGACGGACGGATGGATGGATGGATGGATGGATGGACGGACGGACGAATGAATGAATGAAAAGATGCCTTCCCCTGAATGAACGATTATCATTCTGGGAACTTGCAGCAGGTATCTGAAGAGACACTAACCAAGCCTTTGAACACCCTTCACGCCACACCAAGGGCGTGCTTATCCGAGCACATACCATTGGAATAAAACCGAAAATGTTCAGTGTGACACGCTGCACACCTGTGCCGTTTCCACGCTTGCCAGTGATTTTGCTTCTATTGTTAAGGGTGGGCTACATTTGCAGGTGGCTATTTTCATAAGGATGTCTTAATCTTTTCTCCAACTTCCTCAGACGTTTGCTTTACGCGAAGATCAATACTGCCAGCTCCAAACAGGAGCAAAGCAGGTGGAATAAAATGATGTTTTCGATGCCAGTTTACAGGGGATTTAGAAGTAAGATTGGCACCTGTAATATAGGCATCGCTTTTCTGGCATCAATAGTTTTCAGCACTAGGACATCACATGGTTTTGTCTTCATTCATCCTTTTAAGGAACTTTACTTATATTTTCCTCCCTAAAGGTAGCACTCACATATATTTTATTAAAATTTCTATTAACCGTTTCTTTTTCATCCGCTCAGAAAATTAAGGAAAATGTATTAGCTGATTCTATGTAAATTGCTTTAGTTCAGCTTTTATTGAGGATAAGTTTGTTTTGAATATCTGTTATGACAATTATATACAGCTAAACTTTCAAATCTAATACATTTTTAATAACTTCCTTCAGCAGCTAGTGATTTGAATTTCAAATTTTCTTCTATCAAGAAGTAAAAAAAAGTATATACCATTTTACCACAGTTTTATATAAGAATTGATTTATGTGGCAAGCTCTGTCTCACAGTAAACACATCAAATGTCTAAATGAGACCATTAATACTCATAAGCTTTGTTAATATGTATGTTCCAGATAGAGCATAACACAAAGTTAAAGTCGGCAAAGAAATAACTGTGTCATTAGCTTCTTTTTCAGGAGTCCCTCATTTAGGTCTAAAACATTTCATTCATTTGATTATTTTGATATACTGCTATGGAGCATTTTAGCAGGTTTTAGGGCCTATTAAAATAACTGACCAACCACAACTTTAAAGTACTTAAACATTAACAAATGGAACAATTTGGGAAGTCTGTGCTAGTCAGTTTCTACAAGCCATCTTGAAAATGACTTCTCCCCCCCAATTTTGGAGAGCCAATATTTGGACTGACCATTAATTGCCCAAGAGAAAACAAAGATTGAAATTATGCTATTCTTTTTTGTTAAAAGATCTACTTTCATTTGCCCAGCTGTCAGAGGGAACTAGATGGACATTCTAGGAAAAAAAGAAACAAAACTCAGTGTCCCAGAGCTAGTTAAGATTGTAGGGGGAAGAAAAGGAATGGCGTTGACACAAATGTTTTGGTTTGAATGCCTAACAGACATTTCAAATTGCACATTCACTGAGCGAAACCTTTTTATTATTTACCCAAAGCCTATAATAAGTCAATTAGAAGGATTAGACAGAACTTGCTAAAATCAAATAAAAATAAGAGAAGAGACCATTTACATACTTTTCTTGAAAACAACCCTGAAGATGTATTATTACTGTCATACCAGAATTGGTCTAACTCCACCATTTTAGTTCATAATCATTCAAGAAAAAAAAATTCCCGAGAGAAAATTTAAATCACTAGGAAACGGAATTAGCCTCCCAGATGCTATGAAGAGTAAGGTGTAGCGATAAAAACTTTAATCTTCACATGAGAAAGGTAAATTTTAGCTGTCTCAGATGCTGAATCTAATTATTAAAATGCTTTTGGAAGCTTCAAGTTTCAGTCAATGATACCGGTCTTGCTCTTTATTAAAAAATTAATGATGCCCATTCTCACCAGTCTCCCCTGGCTCTTCTCTTCTGCTGCTTAATTTTCAAGGACTGGAGAGAGAAGCTCACACACATGACGTGTGTGTGTGTTTGCAGTGTTGGTCATAGTGTTAATTTTGACCCAACCACCTTAGATCTGCACTCATCCCGGTCCTTCCTCTTTGTTAGAATTACCCCTGGTTCTGTGAAAGCCCGAACCCCACGATTACACAGGAACCCCCTAATCATCGCGTACTCGGACTCCTCCGTCATTCCCATCGGCACGCAGCTGCGTCACAATAGATGTCACGGTTTAAAATCGTATCTGCCACCTACCTTGGCTCAGTTTTACAGCAAAACTTCTTGAGATAAATTGTTTGAGTAGCTGTCCCTTCCTCACTTCTCATGCTTGTCTAAGTCACTTCCAGTGAAATCAGTCCCCACGTTTCGCTGAAATAGCTCATGGCAAAGCCACCAGCTGCCTCCGTATTATAAATCCAGTGGTTCCTTCTCTTCTCAGCCTCACAAACTAGACACAGGTGACCACCTGCTCAGTTCTTTTAACGGCTTTCTCTTGCTTCCCGGTGATTCGCTCTAATGTCACTGCGCCCCTCTTCCTGCGTGCGCTTCTCCTCGGCCTTGGCTAATCCTCTAAACGCCGGGAGCGGTCATATCTGCCCTTCCTTCCTTTTCTCCCAAGGACATTTTACCCAGCGCTACAGAACAAAGCACTACGAAGGTGCCCGTGACAGGGAAATGAGTAACTCCGTCAGTGGCATCTCCCCCATCCCGGCCCGCCTGTTTGTCTAATTAGCTACGTGACATTTTAGTTTGAGAGCGGGACAGGTCGCTCCCCCTGAACACACACAAAGCGAGAGGTGCGGCTTTCACGCCCGCTCGCCCAGCTCTCCCCGTCTTCATAAATGGCACCATCCCCGCCCCTGCTGACTAGGCCCAAACTCGGGAGGCACCCAGGAGGCCTCCGCACCTCCTCCCAGCATCTAGTCCCCAAACACACCCCAAACGGGCCCTCTGTCCTTGGACATCAGTACTCATGCCTGCATGTCACCACCACATCTTCGTTACAGCTTACCGTTTCCAAGTAATGACGTGCTTAGCTGTGAAACGCCATTTGTTAATAACATCTAGTTATATTTATATTTATAATTTATACCTATATTACCGCTTATTCCTCAGAATAAGGAATACATTATAACCTTAAGGTTCCATTATAATCGTAATCTGTCCGAGGAGAAAGTGGAGGCTCACAGAGGTTCGGCAGCTTATGCAAGTTCACACCGATGTTAAATTTGGGGACAGGATCCTTTACGGAATAGCCAGACGTTCTACCCACAAGCGATCCTGTTTCATAACTCAGAGCTCCGATCGGGAACCCTCCGCAGTGCCATCTGGTACTTAACTGTGTTGTAATAATATCACCAAAGATAACTTTAGGCAGAATATTTTGCATCATTCTGGGGTCATTTCTCACATGCTTTTAATTCTTTTTTCTTATTTATTGATTTGAGAGAGAGGGAGAAAGGGAGGGGAGAGAAAAACACTGATTTGTTGCTCCACTTACTTAAGCATTTATTGGTAGATTCTTGTATGTGCTCTGACGGGGGATCCTACCCACAACCTTGGCGTATCCGGATGACACTCTGACCAACTGAGCTACCCAACCAGGGCCCGTACTTTTAATCCTTAAGAAATGGATATTTCATTCATAGGATTTCTGCACTTCTCTACTCATCAGCATATTTAATGATCCCTGTCTTCTTAAGGCTGTAACCGCAAATGCCATGTCCATTAACAGGGTCTTCAGCGCTACTAACTCCAGCCCTAAAAGTTTTATCTCCTCAATACTGCCGACGGTTTAAATCAAAGTAACAAATGCACAACTAACCCGAACAGAGGGAAAATGCTTACTCAGCACCCTGGGAAATGATCTGGTTGAGTTATGAGTCATCTCATTTTGCAAAGCAGCAATAAAAATGAGTCTTTCATTCTGCAGAAGTACCTCTGGCATTTACAGCAGATGATTAAAATAAAGGAGAAAAGTAACTTTTGCATTTTATTGGAGCCGAGACGTTTTATCCTGGCCATGCATCTTTCCCTTGCAGATTTCATTTATCAAAAGAAATGTCTCCGCAAGCTGTTGTCAAGGGTCCGGCTATTGCTCAGCAAGTCCCAAGTCTGAGACCTACCTTATGGAAGTTTCTGAAATACGCCGCCTTTTCGTCTGGGAATTTTTCTAGCCTTCGGGGCCCTTTACTTGAAGCCTTCTTGAAAACCAACCAGCATCGTCTGAAAATCTGAAAGGAAATAAAGGAATCCTATTACCTCTCTTTTTACACGCGTTAGTAGCATCAGGAATTTATCTATTCAATGAATCCACTGGGAAGAAATTTTTTAAAATGCATTTAAGAAAACTAACAGAGTAGTACAATACCAAGCAGAAAATGCCCTTAGCAAGAGACGTTGTTCAGCACAGCCATACCCATTCTGGACATTTGCATCTGTTGTAAAGATCGTCGCTTATACTGATATATTGTAAAGGTTTCAAATAATTCCTATAATTCTGAGAATTATGTTATATATAATGATACCAACAGACAAAACTGTTGAAATGTGCCATTGAATACAAATGAGTTTCTGCTAATTTCACAAGGGTTTGGATATTGTTAATCAATATAGCTATTTATATGTCTCAGTACACAGCTGACAAAAATCTTTTAAAAAACGTATCAAACTTACTCTCTTGCTTATACTCAGATTTAGGGTACTACATGGTAATACCTAAGAATACAGCTTTTAAATCAGAACCATGTTATTTTCAGCGCAGGCTCTGCTAGTTGTAAGTCCCTCGTCCTGCAGACGTATTTCTATCTTCTCTAAGACCTCCCTTCCTCATCTGTAACTTAAAGTCCATGCCCCTGGAGAAGCTGCTGCTGAGGACTTCAGACAGCATCTGGCATGCGTTTGAAGTGTGGTCCACACATTCTCAGGTGGGCTCCTGGGGTCTGGATACTGCTGTGGATTGCATTCCCATGTCAAACTCACCTGCTGAATTCCTTACCCCCAGGGTGACAGTATTTGGAGCTGGGGCCTTTAGAAGATAATTAGGGTTAGATGAGGTCATAAGGGTGGGGCCCTCGGGGTAGGACCGGCGACCCCTTAAGAAGAGACACCAGAGCACTTGCTCTCTCTCCAAGGTCTCACGGAAAAAGAGGGTCGCAGGAGGACATGGGGAGAAGGCAGCTGTCTGGAAGCCAGGAAGGGGGCTCACCCCAGAGCCTGACCACGCAGGCACCTTGATCTCGGACTTTTAACCTTCAAAACTGTGAGAAAAGAAATATCTGCTGTTCAAGCCCCCAGTGTATGGTCTCCTGCGATGGCCATCCAAGCTGACTAGGACCTATTTTAGATTTCATTTTATCGGCAGAGACGGTGGGGAGGGTAGGGGAGGCTGCTGGGGTAGTAGCAAATTGTGGAAGTGAAGCAGTTACAGGAATCTGCCTAGAAATTTGGGAGATTGAAAGCAGATAAATAAGAATATCATTGCAAAGTGGGATGTATGTAGATGACCAATGTTTCTCTCCAGGTTGTTAGTGGATTTTGGATCCTAGCTGAGGCAGGAGGGCTCTCTGAATGGAATTGGGACCCAACCCTGGAAACATGGTTTCTGGTCTTTGCTACGGAGGAATGCTTTCCCCTGGACTCTATGTGTTTATTGTTCATAACTCAGGAACCATGGTGATGCCAGACAAACCTGACAATATTGATGGAAATACACAAACACGCACGCTCACTGACCTCAGTGCCCCATCTTGTGTGTCTGGTTATTTTCTATTAAATAGCCAGTTAAACCTGAATCAGAATGCTTAAGTGTTTCCATTCAGGTATTCAATATTGCTACAGAAAAACCCGATAACAGATAATATGGGAAAATAGAGTTGGTATTTTCAATAGTATCTTATCTCTTTGCTATTTCTTTAACAGAGGCACCACATCTAGATAAAGCCGATTGTCAGAGACTTGATGTAACAGACTGTTTACCAAGCCAAGGCCCTTAACTTTGTTATTTTCTTATTTTGGAATGATTTTAGATTTATAAAATATTTGCAGAAATGGTGCAGAGAGTTCCCATAAAAACTTTATCTCTTCTGATATTAAATCTGAAATAATCATGGTACAGTTTTCAAAACTAAGAATTAATGCTGGCAAAACACTGTCAAAAATTAAAAGACAGATTAAATTCAGAAACCCCCAGTTTTTTCCACTGGGGGCCTGTTTTGTTTTGGGGTCCAACTGAAGAGACCACATTTCATTTATTTGTCCTGTCTGCTTACCCTCCTCTGGAACCTTGGACAGTTTCTTTGTGTCTTGGTTTTTGTTTTTGGCTTTTTATGACTGACAATTTTGAAGACTATTCTGTATAACGTTTTCAATTTCTATTTGTCTCAGTTAAGTTATTTTGATATTTCAAAAATCTAGGGACAATCTCACAGTAAAGTGGTTCAAACAAACAGTTTATTGGGGAAAACAATACCAACTCATCATGGCTACAGGATAGTTATATTTTGCTCAGCTGTATACTTGAATTTTTAAACTTAAAGTAGTAAAAGATCATTTAATAGATGAAGAGGTTTTGTTGTCTGTTCATGCCTTCTACGAACAGGTTGGAGAAATTACATAGATGAGCAGTAAAAACGCCTGCTTGAGACCAGGAAATCAGTCCTCTGAGAAAAACATAAAGGAATAGGTTTCATTTTGCTTATAAATGATACAAATTCCTCGAGAATATGAATGAGAACCACATAAAATCAGGTGCTCTATTTTTATTTTCCCCATGAGACAAAATAAAGAAATGTCCTTTGCTAGCAGGAGTGGAGGAGATGGTGCTCTCTTGAGATGCGGCTGGCTCTTCAGGGGCATCTAAGGGTACAGGGACCCGCTGCTGGTTAGCGGGAGAATCACTGCTTAGATTCGCGCTCTCATGGTCTGTCTCCGATCAGACACTCCCGCCTGTCCCATCACTGTGGAGATGCTGCTTCCCTCTCTCCTGGGGAAGCCACTGATTTCATCTTCTCATTCAGAGTTATCTTCTAAACATGCCAGTTCTCTCACCAAACAGGCTCCTGGGCACCCTTTGGATTTTCCTTCTGGAAAATTCCATGTTGTTGCCAAGACTCCAGAAATCCCCAAGATCCCTAATTGCCCTCAGCCTCCGCTTTCCACCGCATTAGCCAGCCGGTCAGCTTGCCGTAATTAAATGCCCTCTTAATTCCCTGCCACTTTCCTTCAGAGCAATCCCCTTTCCTCAGTGCTGTCTCCTTTTCAAGGTGATTTTACAGAGGACATCCTTTGTCCACTTAAGACTCCCCGTGAAGTAGGTGGCAGGTTTCTTGGCTTGAGTTCATTGCCATAACCACATTATTTAGCTAGGGCCCCTTCACAAGCTACAACTTAACCCAATGTTGGATTTAATGGGCCTGTTCTATCACAAGATGTTGACCTAATGAATCCTGAACTTCAAATAGGATCTTGGTGAAGGACTTGGAAGAATTTCTGACCACAGGAGTCCACTGCACAAAAGGGAGTCATGGAAACTTCATCTCTAGAGATTTTAAAGACTATAGAAGAAAGTGGTGTATCTGGGGTGGCTTATACTTGTGTTCCCTTCTGAAAGCAAGACACCATATAAATGATAAGTTGGGGCATAGAATTCAGTTATTTGTTCATATTGGAGGATCAGAGGAACATATAAGTCAGCAGTCAGTATATTAACAACAAAGCCCACCCAGGCATAGTCACTGCAGGCTTCTACTCTGAGTAATTTCAACCACTTACGTCTTGGGTCTCGGTCCTCTCACAAAATATTTATGTACTGTTGGAAGACACACTTTAAAAAAAGTAGCTAATATGCATAGATCTATGTCCCTATTGCTGCATGTATTTAAATATCGATGGCAGGACCAAGAAATTAAAAACTTCTTTTCTTTCTCACTGGAGTATAATTTAAAGTTCACGTTTATGGGAAGGTTCTCACCAACTTTGGGACTCGAGAGCATCACTCATCATTATTTAAAGGGAAATATAAATATTGCTGTCCATTAACACTGAAAAAATGCTTAAAGAGCAACACGTCTCTCTCAGTTTTTCTCATTTCATGTAGTTGGAAAGACCAAAACAGATGTGTTAGTGTTTTCTGATTCTATTGTCTTGCTTTCTCTTTACCCAGAAAAACAATCTTGAAATTCATAAAGGACAAATGACGATTCTAAAATTGGCACTGGTGGCAATTTTCGAGGAGGCTGAGAGTTTCGTGTTTCCACCTGAGCCTATATAGTTCCCTCTATTGCATCCGTCTACCACGCCATCGATAAAACGCAGGGAGAGAACACACATCTGCTTTAGTCACAGCCAGCGACGAAATGCCTCTGTGTCATTATCATGGGAATGAAAACTAGTTGCAGAGGAGACCCCCTGAGCAGCACCCCAAGAGGTGGCAATTTTTAGACACAATCACAGCCCTGGAAGGATACTCACAAGTAGGGCTCTTCCACCTCCCTGCTTGCAGACAGCCCCACACTGACAGGAGAGGAAAGAAAAAGTCTCTCTGCTCAAGGTGTCCAGGAAAGAACCTTGCCTTTTGGGTTTTAATTTCTCTAAAATCAGAATATTCTTTGGCTCTCTATCAACATATGCTGTTTGGAATTCATGGTGTTTCATCAGTCGGTTGTAGAGGTGAAACGCAACAATCACTGCAAACTGTATTCCTACCTACGACCAGTTTGTTTTTATTTTGTGGACCCAGTCAGTATAGGGTTCAATCATGGCAAGATCTGTTTCCTGAAATTTTAGGATCACAATTTTCAATCAATATTGACTAGTAAGTCAAATGTCTAAATCAAAGCTCAAAAAATATTTTCTCCTAAGTTTATTTCTTCTCCTGGATTTCTTATTTCCTTCATTTGACAACCAAGTTTTTCTACACACAGCTTCAAATCTTGGTGTCGCCATTTATTTTTTTCCTTCTTTTACTGAAACCATCCCAAAACCTATGGGCAAAACCCAAAAGGGAGACGCCGCTGTGACATAGTGAGAATGGATAGAATGGAGGAAAACAGTGCATCTAGGAAAGAAATGAAGCATAAAAATAGAAATGGTAGAGAACTTTCAAAATCAGAGGCTGTTCAGTGGATGCTGCAGAAGGTGGGAGTTAAAGGTTATATTAAGGGAGCGACATTATAAAAATGTCATTAGGTAATTAGTACATTCATACCAGAGGAGGAGATTACAACTCAGGCCGTGCTGAAGACAGTGGACAGAA